CTTGTCATGATTATTTGGTAGATTTGATAAAAAATATAGTAGTTTAAGTCCTACTTCCAGAGAGTTTTAGTTGCCCTATGGGTAATTCTTAGGAGCTACCTAGGTTGAGAACCTTTGGGTTTGATGAGTTATAGAATGAAAACCTATTTTTCTAAAATATGTTTTTATTGATTTTAGAGAGAGGAAAGGAGAGGTAGAGAGAGGTACAAACATCACTGATGAGAGAGTCATTGATTGGCTCCCTCCTGCACACCCCTACTGGAGATCAAGCCCAAAACCTGGGCATGTACCCCAACAGGGAATGGAACTGTGATCTCCTGGTTCATGGGTCAATGCTCAACCATGAGCCACGCCGGCCAGGCAAAAACCTATTTTTTAAAGACAGTATAATTTTCAGTAAATTTTTTTTAAAGTATTGCAGTTTATGCCTGGCCGGGCGTGGCTCAGCGGTTAAGCATCGACCTAGGATCCAGGCGATCAGGGTTCGATTCCTGGGCAGGGCACATGCCCGGGTTTCGGGCTGCAGCCGATCAATGACTCTCTCATCATTGATGTTTCTATCTCTCTCTCTCCCTCTCCTTTCCTCTCTCTGAAATCAATAAAGATATATTTAAAAAAAATAAATAAAGTATTGCAGTTTATTAAAAAATAAGCAAATAATAAAGCATATACACAGTCTCATTTATGTCCTATCTTATTTTTAAAAGATAGCCATTGTCAAGTCTTTTGTTTGTTTATACATTTTATGTAAATATATAAATATAATTTTTAAAACAAATAGGACCAAACAATATGTACCATTCTTTGACTTGTTTTTACCCAGTTAGTATATTCTAGACATCTAGAGAAGTTCATTTCTCATAATAAATTTTTCCAACGATTAAAATCAAAAGCACAGAATATAATTTCTGAGTGACTTGGCAACCGTGGCTGATGAGATGCAGAATTTTAGCAGGGCTATTTCTAGTATTGTTTGGAGGCTGAAACAAATCACAACTCTCCTGCCTCTTATCCCATTAAAAAATAAACAAACACACTGCAAAAATCCAGGCAAAACTGGTTTAAGTTGAAGATTATAGACAGCCTTGAGTAGGGAAGAGTAACCAAAGGGCTTCATAAGAGGTGCCCAGGAAGAAGGGATATATCTTGCACTGAATTAAAGCGATTGTATGGGTGGCATGCTTCAAAGTTTCTGTTTTGTGCATTGTACTTTAAAATTTTTGTTTTATGTTTGCTTAGCATTAGCGAAGTTTCCCTCTGGCTTCCTTTTTTCACTGTTGCTCAATTGCTAGAAGCTTGGATTAGATGAAGTGTAGATGGAAAGGAAAAACTGTGGGAGTGTGAGTATTCAAGTTAGCTGCAGGACCTAGACAGTTAAAGAAGAGATGATTTTTAACTCCTGTCCTCTTAGTGCCTGTTCTTCCTTTGGCTTTTGGGCATCTCTTTTACTCTCCTCTTAGGATCTGCAGTTCTCTTCATCTGAACTAACCCAGTAGGTTTCCTGGGTTTGCCAGTTGTGAGTAGGACCTTAGACACTAAGGCTTGTTTACCCAGAGTAGATCAAGATCTTCAGAGGTCCTGCTCATTGACAGGGTTGTGTTAATCACTCAGGCAATCAAAATAATAGTAGTAACATGAAACCTAAATTAGTTGCAGATATTTTCAGTGGAGTTTAATTTTTTTCCATGATAAATAGCATTACTCTTTTTTTAAAGAGAAAGAAACATAAAAGTAAAGTTGAGTTTAAGTACTTTGTAGTTAGACTCCATAAGAGATAATCCTAGCCTGGTCATTAGAGGACCATTTAATATTTCCTTTTTAGTCATATAATTCTTTAATATCTTGGGGTTTTATAAAACATTACATTTAAACTTTACTTTTCCTTATTATTAGGTAAATTTATTGTTGAGATCAATAGCTATATAGTCAGTAGGCGGAGAATATTACTTGTAGTGTCAAATAATCCTGCATTCATGGTATTAAATATAGTCAAGAAATTTTGTATTCTACTTGTGTTACAAGGAAAACAAAGAAAAGTGCTTTTGGGGGGTAGATCTGATAAGTTACCAGAAATGGTCTTAGGATACAAGGCAGATTGTTGACTTATTAGGATTACGTTTTCTGTTGCAGAGCCTTTCCTTGTCTTAGAGCACTTCCCATTGCATTTTATTACTCCCTTATATTTTTACTTTATTAGGTTCACTTTGGAAAAATGTAAATATAAATTTAATATTTATATTTATAAATATAAATTTATAAAATATAAATATAAATTTTTAAATATAATTTTTATCTTCTGAGCAAGTTAAGCCTTTTTATCTTTAATTATGAGTTGAAGCCATTGGTTTGGGAGTAATAGCATGAAAGCACTGTTTCCCAGAAAACTGGAAGGGAGAAAACCTTTTAAAAAGCAAGCTGTGTCTGTTTCCCTAACCACCAGCATCTCTCTCGTACTGTTGAACAGCATGCTTGGCACTCTAATGTATATTGGAAAATATAACAGATGTCTCCTGTGAAATGATTTCGAATGATCCGAGTCCATTCTGAGGATCAGTTCTTAAGAATTTGGGATCTCCCTTCCTTTTTCTTTTTAAATTTAACTTTTTATTTTGAGATAATTGTAGATTTACATGCATTTGTAAGGAATGATTCAGAGAGAACCCATGTGCTCTTTACCCACTTTACCCAATGGGGAACATCTTGGAAAAGCACAGTATCATATTAGAACCAGGATATTAACATCAATGCATTCCACCAACCTGCACACTTCACCAGCATTGTGTACTTGTACTTGTTTGTGTGTGTGTGTGTGTGTATTTAGTTATATACAGTTTTATCAGCCTTGTATGTACCCACCATCACAGTCAAAATACCGAACAGTTTTATTGCCACAGAAATCCCTGGTGTTACCATTTTATAACCACACCTCCTTCCTTTCTCAAGAGAGGTTTTTGTTTGTTTTGTTTTTAAATGCCTAGTCATTTATGGTCTTGACTTAAGACAATTATCTTTTAAATTTCTACCCATATGTTTTAAAAATTTTACTTATTTAATTTTTTAAAGTGTGGCAAAAATATAATGCAAAATTTATGATCCATTTTTAAGAGTGTAGTTCAGTAGTATGTTCATATTTGTCGTGCACCACGTCTCCACGTTGTTCTTGTCTTGCAGAACTAAAACCCTACCCATTAAACAGTTCCCCTTTCCCCTCTTCCCCAGTCCCTTGGCAACCACTGTTCTATTTTCTGTTTCTGTGAATTTTACTACTTTAGATACTTCATATAAGTGGAATCAAACAGTATTTGTCCTTGTGACTGGCTTATTTTATTTAGCAAGAAGTCCTCAAGGTGCATCCATGTTGGAGCATCTGACAGAATTGCTTCCTTTTTAAAGCTGAATAATATTCCATTCTGTGTATAGACCACATTTTGTTTATTGATTCATCCGTCTGTGGATACTTGGGTTACTTTCCACCTCTTGGCTCTTGTGAGTAATGCTGCTGTGAACATGGTGTGCAAATTATCCCTTCACCATCCTGCTATCAATTCTTTTGGCTATATACCCAGAAGTGGAATAGCTGCATCATATGGGTAGTTCTATTATTTTTTTTTTTGAGGAAACACCACATGGTTTTCCATAGTGGCTGCATCATTTTACATACTCATCAACTGTGCATAACTGTACTCTAATGATGTTTGAATAAATAAGTTTTAATTCATTTATTTTTGTTTCATTTTCTGACTTGTATTGACTTACCTTTTATACTCAATGAGTGAGTATTAGCACAAATAGCAAATGAGGTATTTTGTATTATAGAACGTTTGTATACCAAGGACGAGTCTCAAGGTGACATCTAACTATTTTAGAGTCAGCTCTTTTAATTATAGGTAACAGAAACCTTATCTGAACTAGTTTAAATAAAAAGAGGGATTTTATTACAAGGAAACTGGGATTGAATCTAAGGATGGTAATGTGGCAGGGCCTTAGAAATCACTAAAAATGGGACTTGGTTGTCTCTTGTCTTTGGTGGATCTATTTTTCTTTCATTGTGTATGGTGACTTTTGTCACATGGCGATGAAATGGCTCTTTACAAATCCTGAGCCCTTCTGCTTCAGCCACCCAAAGACTGAGTTGCTCAGTTGGTCCCAGTACAGAATTCCTAGGGGGAGGGGTGACTGGTGTGGCTGGGCTCAGTGGCCTGCTCTGATATACCTGACCACAACCATGGTCAAGAAAATGGAGCCAGTGCGAGGGCCCAGCAATATGTATGGGAGCTATAGGGATTGACTGGTTGTCAGAAAGAAAGGGAATGACTGCTAGAGAGACCCAATGCAAGGTATGCTCATTAACTCTATATAAACTCAACTTCAATGAATAGTAGCTCACTGAAGATACATTGAGGCATATTGGAGCTTGAGGAACTTTGGGTAAGGACTATTAAAACAACCGCAGGCAAAGAATTCTTAATAAAAAGTTCTGACTGCTCAGTAGTATATATAAAGTTGAGAGCCAAGACGGGAAGTGCTTCAAATTCTTAAAATTTTAAAAGATAAGCTCATTGACTAATTTCTGGAATGATTTGAATTAAGGAGTAGGATTTTAAATGTCAACACTGGTATTTAGTGTAGAAAATAGAAATTTACATATCAAACAGCAATAAATTAACTTATAATTCACTTCAGGAGATTTGAAAATATATTAGGGATATCTTAGACAAATTGATGTATTATGGCTACATAATGGAGACGTTTAGAGGAAATTATCGTGTAGCCTTAACCTTTTGAAGTCATGGAGGGAATTATTTTCCCATCAAGCACTAGCAATGATGGTAATTGTTAAAATGTAGTTAGTACTGCTACCTATCAGGCACTGTGCTAGGCATTTTATATCTGTTACCTCATTTACCCTTCCCCAAACCATGGGGACTCACTCACAATTTGTCAATTGAATTTTCTAGGCTGTTTTTCCACAGGATGATTAACACAGCTTTTCCTTTCAGAGATGTGGTATTGGATCTTTCTCTGGGCTCTCTTCTCCTCTCTGTTTGTCCACGGTGCTGCGGGAGTGCTGATGTTCGTGATGCTGCAGAGACATAGGCAGGGAAGAGTAATCTCCATCATCGCCGTCAGCGTCGGGTTTCTGGCTTCTGTGACTGGAGCATTGATCACTAGTAAGTTGATTTTGTTTTGTTTAAGAACATAATTTTATATGTACTTACGGTTTTGGTAACGTTATTCTTATTGCTACTGTAACATGTAATCTTTCATGTAGAATATTTTTCAGCACTAATTGCACTCCTCCTAGAAGGTAAAGATCAGTTCATTTATTCATTGAAATCGTTTTTGTACTTCTACTATGTGAAGACTCATATTTTGTGGGAAAAGCAAAACTTATAAAATTTGGCAAGGGGTAAAGCCATTCCTGGGAAAATTTATCTTACAGTGGATGTAGTTTCTGCTTTAAAGGAGCTCACTATCTCATAAGGGGGAAAGGTAGGAACACAAATATGATGGTGATTCTTAAAAAAGAATGGTTGTTCTTAAAAAAGAATGAAAATATATCCCTTAGGTCCTTGATGTCATCCTCCTGTAACTACAAAATAAAATTGCTCTTCTTTCTTATACATAAATTATGGCACAAATCTCCCTGTCCTACTGGAAATTAGCTACTTTAGAGTGTCCTCTAACTATTTGCAAGTTTTCTACTGTGCTGCTCTTGTATTTCATGCATGGCCTCAGGTTCATTCTCTCTGCTCCTCTCCTCTTTCTTTTTTTAAATCCTTACCTGAGGATATGTTTTTATTGATTTTTTTTTTAGACAGAGGAAGGGAGAGGGAGAGAGAGAGAGAGACAGAAAACATCAATGTGAGAGAGAAACATTGATGGGTTGCCTCCTGTGTGTACCTCAACTAGGGAATTGAACTGGCAACCTCGATATGTTCCCTGACCAGGAATCAAACGCGCGACCTTTCGGTGTATGGGACTATGCTCCAACCAGCGGAGACACACCTGTCAGGACTGGCCCTGTCCTCATAACATTGTCCTTAGACTCCAACTGTAGCCTGGGGTTCAAAGAGTTAGTTCTGATTTCTGCTCTGCTAGCTGAACCAGAACTTCGATGTATCTTGTTCTGACTGGAGGGTGCCACAGCTGCTTCCTTAATGTGGTCGTGCCAGAAATGGGCTGCTTCTCTCTGCTGCTGTTGATTGTCATTGCCACTGAGTAATAGAGGCTTATGTTTCCCTTTGCTTCTGCCCTACTTCCAAATGTCTGGGGCAGCTCACTGCTCCCACTGGATCTGTTTGGAGACTCCCCAGAAAGGACTTCCTCCTTCCTAGTTGGTCCTTAGCCCCAGAGATATGAGGACGGGAGGTACTTTTCTTCTGTAGCTCTAAGGCCTCCCCTTTTGTGTCCCACACGCACCTTTTTCCGGAGTGATTGACACACCTTGCCCTGAGAGGAAAGCCCCATTTCCCTGTCTCTGGGTGTTTCCTGGGGAACTGATGAGATAATTGTAAAATAGTTGTGGGAGGTGGTGAGTAGCCTGTTTTTTCCTTTCTTCATTTACTATTTGTTTTTGTGTGTGTTGTATTAGGTTTTTGGTTTTGCTTTTGTTGTTGATGTATTTATTCCCCCTGTAACTTTATCATCTGGTACCTCATCCACTTTGCCATAGATAAGGCTTAAAAGAAGTGCACAGGTTTAGCTGAACATAGGATGTGCATAGTGAAGGAGATTCAGCTGGAAAAGTGGAATGGCGCCAGAGCCTAGAGGGCCTTGGAAGGCCAGAGGGAAAGTACTGCACGGTGTGCAAAACAACATACTTTTGAGCGGAGTTGGCAAGGTGCAAAGGAGTTCAAGGGAAAATGTGTTTTATAGCTAAATGTAGAATATATGTGAGGATCCAAGAGAAAACTCTGAAAGACAGGGACCTTCTCTGTCTTTATCACTGATATATCCCCAAAATAAAACACTACCTGGAACATAATAGATACTCAAAAATAGTGGCTGGCTGGATGGCTGGATGGATGGATGGATGTAGTGAGGGAGGAAGAGCGGAGAAAGGAGGAAAGAAAGGGAAGGAAGAGGAATTAAGAGGCAATGACTGTAACTCGAACTTGAGGTTGGATCTGAATTAGAGTGGCAGTGGGTTGGAAAAGAAGTTAATGTTAGCACTGCGGCAAAGGGGAAAAAATCCAAATTAGTTATTGTATAGTTTGATGGCTAACAAAGAGGCATGAAAGGGACTGCCACTGTTGCTGATGTGGGCCACTGTGGTAATCCTGGAACAGTGAACAGAGGAGAAAGAAGGAACAGCTTGTTCAGAAGTCATGGTATATGTGTATTTATTGGCATAGATGTTTTAAAAATTTAAAGAAATGTCATTCTACTTCCATGTGTCTCATTGATATCTAGACATATATTACCTACTTTCAATTCAGTCAAGAATAAAATAAGCCAGTGATTTTGGAAACGGCAATGTTATATTTTAAAATTCTTGAAAATATAAGTCTGACACATTTTCAAGTAAAAAGTTTATATCCAGGTTAGTAAGAAAACACTTAGATTTATTCTGGCTAATTTTCTGACCTGCAAGCATTTGAATTAAGGAAATTAGCCAATGTGAACATTTAACTCCGTTTTCTTAGTGTATTTATGAGTGTCAGAGCACTCATAGCTTTATATTCAGTGCAGGAATCGGTCTTGGATATCTATGTGGAACAAGATACTGACTGAAGATAGATACGTCTCTGATATTACGCCACTTCTTAGATTTTATTTCCAGGATAGAGTGATTTTTTTTCATTTTAGTTAATACAGATAGTTAATACCAGAATTGGGAAAAACTGGGTTTCTATGTAATGCCATAGTTGGCATTATACACATAGCTGTCTAATTTTAGCAAGGTATAAAGTGACACCTCATTGTTGGTTTAATTTGCATTTCCCTGATTACTGAATGAATTAGAACATGTCTCTCTATGCTTATTATATATTTAGATTTCCTTTTCTGCAAGTTGCTTCTTTAAATTCAGTGCTTGCTTTTCTTTTGGGGTTCTTTTATCCTCCTTACAGGTGTTCTCATGTGCTGGAGAAATTGACCTCTTGTTGGTTTGGGATTCTGCAAATAACTTCTCAGTCTCTTACCAGTTACCTTCATCCATGATGTTATTTATTGGGCAGAAATCCTTAATTTCTTCATAATCAGCTTAAAGATTTTTTTATTTTATGGTTTATAATTTAGAGTTTTATTTAATAATTTTTCCCCATTCCAAGGTCAAAAGATTTTATGATATATTGTCTTCTGTTTACATTACAGTTTTACCTTTTATTTTAAGGTCTTCATCTAGAGCAGGGGTCAGCTAACATTTTCTAAAAGGGCCAGATAGTAAATATTTTAAACTTTGCAGGCCAGATGTCTCTGTCACAACTATTCAGTTTTGCCATTTTAGGGAAAAGCAGTCATAGACATATGTAAATGAGTAGGCATGGCTTTTTTAAATTAAACTTTATATACAAAAACAGGCATCTGGCATTCAGGTCATAATTTGCCCTCTGGTCTAAAGTCTACCTTTATGTTTGGTATTAGATAGGATTCCAGGTGCCTTTTTTTCTTCCCATAGAAGAAGCCAGTTTTTACCACTCCAGCCACTGAAATATACATTTCCTCATTGATTTGTAGCATCACCTTTTTTGTATATTATGTTCTAATAGTGAATAGATACATCTCTGAACTCTATTCGGATTTGGTAGTCTTTTTATCTGTTCTTGCAGCAAGGCCATGTTTTTTATCCCCATGGTTTTGTAGTACAGACAGACCTCATCTTACTGTGCTTCATTTTACTGTGCTTCACAAATGTTGCATTATTTTACAAGTTGAAGGCAAACCCTCCACCAGCAAAAAGGTTATGACTTGCATTATTGCCATACTTGCTCTGTTGCAGAAAGGGAAGGAAGAGGAATTAAGGGTCAGTGACTGTAATTTGAACTTGAGGTTGGATCTGAACTAGAGTGGCAGTGGGTTGGAAAAGAAGGAGTTAATATTAGGACTATGGCAAAGGGGGGAAAATCCAAATTAGTTATTATGTACTTTGATGGCCTGAAAAGGACATGAAAGGGACTGCCAGTGTTTGTGATGTGAGCCTGGAGCCAAACCCACAATATCCCTGAGATGTGCCTATATTTCTTAATATCTGATAGGGCCAGGTCCCTCTCATTTCTCTTCTTTTTCAGAGTTAACATAGCTGTTCATGGATCTTGATTCTTTCATGTAAATTTTTTAAAATGTCTACTGAGTTCCTCAAAAAGTGTAACAATGATTTTGGGCAGGATTTAATTGAACGTAGAGGTTAATATGAGTAATATGAGAAGAATTGGCATATTAAATTAATCCACCTAAGAAAACGTAATATATCTCTATTTATTCAGATCAGCTTCTGTATCTTTTGTTAGAGTTTTAAAATGTTTTTCTCCATAGGAGGGTCTTATATTTTGATTATTTCCTAACCTCTTTATGCTCTGGTTGTCATGCATGGTATCTCTTCTGATTACCTTGTTTAGTTTCATTGGTATAGAGAAATGCTGTTAAGTTTTGTATGTTATGACTTGCTTTATTGCCATACTTGCTCTGTTGCAGAAAGGGAAGGAAGAGGAATTAAGGGTCAGTGACTGTAATTTGAACTTGAGGTTGGATCTGAACTAGAGTGGCAGTGGGTTGGAAAAGAAGGAGTTAATATTAGGACTATGGCAAAGGGGGGAAAATCCAAATTAGTTATTATGTACTTTGATGGCTTGCAAAAGGATATGAAAGGGAGTGCCAGTATTTGTGATGTGAGCCTGGAGCCAAACCCACAATATCCCTGAGGTGTGCCTGCCTTTCTTTCTTTCTTTCTTTCTTTCTTTCTTTCTTTCTTTCTTTCTTTCTTTCTTTCTTTCTTTCTTTCTTTCTTTCTTTCT